TCTGACAGGAAGCACTTTGAAGCAGCGGCTGCAGGCAGTGACCCAGGCGAGGGGCTGTGCTTGGCAGAAGCTGTCTGCACGGGCCGCTGGCCAGCTCTGGACGCTCTCCTTCTTGCCCCACTCCAGGTCTGTCGTCACATGGCCTATTGTTCCCATCAGCCAGGCCTGGAGGGGGCTGGGGTCCCAGGTCGGCTGGGACCCTGCTGCGTGGAAAGCCCTCCGGGGTACCCAGGGCCCAGCTGGGTTCCTGTGCAGCGGAACCCAGTTCCTGAGCCCCAGCAAGAAGGGCCCTTGTAAGATTCCGGGAATACTGGCAGGGAAACTTCCCCTCTGCAGTCCAGAGGGCAAAGAACATTCTGGGCCCGTGGAACATCGTCTGACCTTGAGCGGTGGGTTAGGAAAGCGCTGGCGTGAGCCCTGTGCCGGTCTTTTGCCCAGCAGCTGATGGCTGGAAAAGGCAGTGAAGACACTGATTTGTGCTCAGGAAACAGGATGCTGGTTGTGGGGTGCGGTGTGGGCAGGGGACTGGAGTGGCCAGAAGCCAGGTACCCCAGGTACTCCAGGAGAAGGGGTAAGGTAGGGATATAATGAGGTAGGGAGGGTCCGTGACGTGTTGACACTGTCCCTCCCCTCTGGGGACAGAGAGGGCGCCTCTCAATGGGCAGGGTGTCCCTTCCTTGAAATTGCTAGAATGGAGGGCCCAGGACCCAGGAAAGAGAGGCAGAGGAGGCCGGCCTCTCTCCTGGAAGGCCAGAAACAATGCCCAGGGCTGGTGAGCAGCAGGCGAGGCCTGGCCCTTTACCCCCAGGGCCCTCCCTGGCCCTGCAGCCAGGCTGGGGCAAATGGTCTCTGTGGCTCTGCTGCAGATGTGACAAGAGCAGGGTGCTTCACCCGGGAAAGCAGCGGTCAAAACCTGCCCAGCCCATCACTCCTCACCGGGTGGCCTTGGGCAGGTCTCAGTGGTGTCATCTCAAAGTCCCTGGCAGAGGGCAGCCAGCACCCAGGGGTCTGTAGAAGGATTGGCGCCAGCAGGCGTGGGGGCCCCATGGTGTAAACACTGTGATCTGGGGCCCGGGCCGGGGTGCCCTGGGTGCCAGACTTGTGAGGAACGGGGCAGGCGGGGAGACACTCAGGCCTGTAGCTGTCGACCTGGGAGGGCCACACCTTGGTGCCTGGGCGGGACTTCCAAACAGAGCAGGTCTGAAGAGAAGGCTCTGCTCTCTGCCCAGGCTCAGGGCAGTGCTGCTGGGTGGGAGAGGGGTGCAGGCCGCCCATGGGGAGCCTCTTCCGTCTGCCCCGGCCAAGCTCCCCGGTCCTCCTGCCAGGCACTGTAGGCGGGCTCTGTGAAATCCGGGCCACCCCGTGACCGCCCCTGGCTCAGGGGCTTCCCTGTTCCTTGGGCCATGCCGGGACAAAGGCAGGAAGGACAGAGGGTGTGCACAGGTAGAAGATGACAAGGAACCTGCTCTCAGCCACCGAGCAGGCCCAGGCCCAGACCGCCGACAAGCTGCCTCGGGAACTACTGTGTGCACAAGCAGAGGGGCTGGAGGGACATCATGCAGGGCCCAGCAGGTCAGCACCTCCCCTTGTGGTGCCAGGGACTCCAGCCCTGCCCTGCTCAGCACCCAGAGAGCTCAGTCTCCCCGTCCTGTCCTGGCCCCACACCAGGCAGGAGTGTGTAGTCACTCACCGCGGGCTCTGCCACTGTGCATGATAAGGCCATCCCTCCCTCCGATCCCGCTTTCCCCAGTTGGCCACCAACAGAGGACAGGGCCAGAGAGGCCTTTCAATGCCTCTCTGTGGGCCCTTGGCTTTGGGGAGGCCTTCAGGGCCATGTGTGAGAGAGACCTGGCACAGGGGCAAGGACACACCTCAGTCACGGGCAGGACACAGCCCCTGCCACGGAGGGGTCACAGCTGGTGGAGACAGGGACCGTGCAGACCATGCACTGCCCACTAAGATGTGGCCAGAGGGGTGTGGGCCTGGAAGGACAAGCTGGATGCTGCCAAGGAGGCGGGATGGTGGCATTTCCAAAGAGGGAAGTGCTCTGGCCCAGGTCCCAGGGTCCCTGTCAGACTCCACTGGCACCAGCTGGTTATGACATCAAGCAGCTGGGCTCCAGAGTGGTCAACAGCAGAGGGGTGGCCGGTCCCTTCAACACACGTGAACTCTTATGCACAGAGCCCGGACTCATCTCCTGCCCAGGGGGTTTCCCTGGGTGACACATTGCAGCCACATTGCAGGGGCACCAAGCAAGGTGCCAAGGAGCCTGTGACTCCCAGCCACAACCTGGCCCCCAGCTTGTGGCCCGCTCAGGCCATGGAGCACATTGCCCACCTGGCTGTACAGCCTGGGCAGCACCAGGTCCCGCGGGTCTGTCCTGGCGCTAAGAGTGCCCCCCTGGAGGGAGAAGAGGGTGGTGCAAGGACACGGACAAACCCCCTACCACGAGGCCACCAATGCGGAGTCAGGGGCGAGCTAACACTTTCTAATAGCCGTGTAACAAAAAAGTACAGCGGCCAGGTGAGGTCGACTCGAAGAGCAGCTTTTCAACCCGGGTCAACCCAGAAACCCAACAGGTCTGGTCCCGGTGCTGCCCCACCCCGTCCCTGAGGCCCTGCCGCAGTCCCCCTCCACGACATCCCAGTCTGGACCATCAGCATTTCAAGCGCTCAGTCACCACCTGCAGCCATGGTCACAGCATGGTGCAGCAGGGCTCCAGAGGGTCACCCAGGGCTGAGGGATCTCCGTCCCTGGGTCCTGCTCCTGTGGCCTCCCTGGGGGTGACTCCAGCCCCACCTGCCTGAATTAAGGCTGCTGTATGTCCGCCCAGTAGGCTAACAAAGAAAGACTGACATCCTTCCAAACACCCCCAAACGGGGCCAAGCCTCACCCTCTCCACCCACAGCGGGAGCAGATGGGAATCACTCGGCCGAGCACCAGCACGGTGGTCACCCCAGGGCCTGCTGAGCACTCCCTGCTGAGCACTCCCAGGAGCAAGGGCCACGGTGTTTAAATAAAGAAGAATGGTCATGGAAGACGCAGCAGATCAGTGTACAAGAAACAGCAGGTTGCAAAATAATGCCCCCACCTTCTTTTGTAAAAACAAAATACCAAAATATTAGTAGCACGTTCGTCTGCACAGAGAAGGTGGTCAGGAAGGGTTTGGCAAAATGTAGGAGCAAGCTCCATCCGGCACCGCCACTCGCGTGTGTGTGTGTGTGTGTGTGTGTGTGTGTGTGTGTGTGTGTATGTGTGGTGCTGGGATGGAATGAGGGCCTCACACATGCAGGGCGAGCACCTGACCACTGAGCCATGTCCCCAGCCCCACTTATGCTTCCTTTAAATGCCACGTACATAACTAGACTCTGCAAAGGGTACACCCTTCGTGGTGCAGTGTCAGAGTGGCCCCTCACAGAGGCCTGCCCAGTAAGTACACTCTCAAGTCAAGGGGCACCTGGCACCTGGCCACCCATCTGAGGACACATCAAGAAAGACAACACGTTTTCTCCAACAACCAGAAGACACCCTGAGCACAAAACCGCACAAGCCCCAAGCTCCGCCTTCCGCTAGGCCACGCCACTGCTGTCAATCAGCAGCTGTCACAGGAGCACTGTTGGGGGCTCCTACAGCTGCCACAGGGCAGCACCGCGCAGCAGAGCCCCGGGTGCCACCACCCTCTGAGGGCACCGAGCAAGGAGGCCTGTGCCTGGGAGCACGGCAAGGCCGGCTCTGCAATTCTCAGGGAGAGGGGCACCACCAGGGCTGCTGTGGCCTGAGTGTGTCCCCAAATCCAGCCTAGAAACGCAATCTCCTGCGCCAGTGTCAGGAGGCGGGCCGTGGGGTGTTTGGTCGTGAAGGTTAATGCTGTTATAGCCTGGGTTCTCTCTCTCCTCTATTGCACCGTGTGAGGACAACGTTCCTCCTCTGGAAGGGTGGCCACAGGAGGGGCCATCTGGGAGCCAGGCTGGACTTCCAGCCTCCAGGGCTGTGAGAATCACTTCTCCCCTGTGCGGGTTCCGCAGCCCAGGCATTCTGCAGAGCGGCAGCAGACTCAGAGAAGGAAGGCCCAGGCCCAGTCTCTGCCGCCGGCAAGTAGGATCTCTAGCTCCCTGAGACCAACCCCCTGGCCCTGAGATCCTGGAGCAGAAAGAAGGTTCATGTTTCAGGCATGTTGAGGTTTCAGAGGGGACTTTCCCCAGGGAGGCTCCAGGCAGTGGCTGGGAGGTTCTGGAATTCCCGACCCCAGACCTCAGGTACACCGAGGCTCCCTCTCTCACCCCATGTTTGCCTCTGGCCCCAAACCACAGGCCCCTCACCCAGGAGAGACCTCAGGGGGAAAGTCGGGCCTGGAATCCTTTCCGACCCAGCAGATCACCCAGGACAGAGGTGAGTGACCTGGGTACCATTTCCACCAAGTCTCTCCAGCAAAAGGTAATCTTTCACAGTCAAAGCCACGGAGAACAGACTCTCTCAACGACCAAGCCAGCCAGAGCCCCGTCACCACAGGGCAGCTCCATGTGCCCACAGGCACCATGCCCACCTGGTGCCTGGAGACCTGCTGGGAACCGTTGGACTTTGGACCCAACAAACAGAACTCCTTCTTGTGAGGGCGGTTCCATCCCAGAGCCTCCCTGACAGCTGCCACTGATTCTAGGTTCTCTACATCTCACAGATGTAGGGGCCCGAGGGGCTGGGGGCCATCGACCATGACGTCTGCAGCTGTGACGTCTCCAAGCACACAGCTGAGAGCGGCGCACGCTCAGCCTGACTCCCCGGTGGGCCGCCCCTGGACGGGCAGGGCCGCCCCTGCTCACCTCTCACATGGTTTCCAAACCCAGACCCTGTGTCAAGAGTCACTCTGCCTTACCCCACACAGCAAGCACAGAGAGACGGCCAGACCCGTCCTCAGAGGTCAGTTACAGTCAGGCCTCTGCTTTAGAAAGTAAGCCCTGAGCAGAACATGGCACCAGGGAGTCTAGGAGAAGGGCAGCACTGACCTGAACTTCCCAGTCCGCACCTGCAGCGCTCTCATTCCACACCGCTGGGCACCGCCAACGTCACCCATGATGTCGTCTCCAATCATGATGGCCTGTCACAGCAGTGAAATATGCTCAGAAGTGATGTCAGGAGAATTTTATTCCCGTGCTCCTTCATCTTTTTCGACATAATAAATTGCTTGATTTGATGTTTAAAATCACCATCCCACGAATTAAACAAGATAATATTGTCACAGTATTGATTAAAAGTCAAGCCACCTTGAATATATCTCCTGCTGCCCCCGTGGGCTGCACCTCTGAATGGTTTATATTTGTGAAATCTGAAATCAATCATCAGGCATCCGTGTGATGTGGCGCCCGGGACCAGTGGGGTGCGGCTGTGCTCGGCCTCCGGGTGAGCATGGACTATGGGCTGTGATTGACATGGCACCAAACCCTCTGAAATCTGGGGGTTTTACCAACCCTTAGTTCTGTGAAAACTAATTACAAACCCCTGGCAAATCTTTGTAGTCACAGTTTAAAAGTTTTGCTTTCAATAATGAAGTGCAAAGGACAAAGTGATACGCAGGAAAACACACAGAGGGTCATTCGAGGCCTGATACTTGTTGTTGTTGTTGTTTTGCAGCCCTGGGATGGAACCCAGGCCCTTGCACGTGCTAGGCAAGCGCTCTACCACTGAGCCACGTGCTCAGCCCCTGGAGACCATTTCCTTTCAGAAGCAGCCTCAGGACAGAATCCCCCACCTGAAACCAGCGCAGAACCAGGCACCCCATGAACCAGCATCTTCCAGGACAATGGACAATATGCAAGGACGGACAGTGACTTCTGAAACCAGGGAGCAGATGGGGCCGGTCCGGCGATTGGCACGGCTTTCTGCCCTCAGCACTTCCAGACTGTGGGTGCAGGGAGGGTGCGATGGAACCCAAAGCCCTAACCCCCAGTGTGATTGTATTTGGGGACAGGGCCTCCAGAGAGGCAGTGACAGTTCCATGAGGTCACAGGGTGGGGCTCTGATCCAAGAGGACTGGAGTCCTCATTGAAGACACCACAGCTCTCTCCACACACAGACGAGAGGCCATGTGGGGACACAGTAGGACGGCGGCCGCTAGGGTCTGAACAGGGCTTGAGGGTGCCTCCCTCAGGCTCACGTGCTGGGTGCTCAGTCCCCAGTGTGGTGGCTGCGGGGAGGGAACGTTAGGAGGTGGGCCCCGTGGGAGACGTTTGGGTCATGGGGGCGACTGATGCTGGCCTCACGAGTGCGCCTGTTGGAGAGCGCCATTAGCACAAAGCAAAGCCACCCTCGCGCCTGGACCCTTCTACAGGCAGCGTTTCCTTCCCTTCTCCACTGTGCTGTGATCAGCTGGGCTGGGGGGATGGGCACCGGAGGCTGAGCAGATGAGGCTGCCCAACGCTGGACTTGGAGCTTCCAAAAATTGTAAGCACAATAAACTTTTAAAACTTTTTAAACTAAAGCTGGGGATGTAGCTCAGTTGGTAGAGTGCTTGTTTCCCATGCACAAGGCCCTGGGTTCAATCCCCAGCACCAATAAATAAAGTAAGTAAGTATCCAGCATCAGATATTATGCTTTTAGTTAAAACTAACAAAGAGCCCCCACAAAAAAGCCAGGAAGCGCACCCTCACCAGAAGCAGAATTTGCCGACGCCCTGATCTAAGACTTCCAGCCCCCAGGACTGTGCAGCAGTAGACTTCTGTTGTTTAGGCTCCAGTCTGTTTTTTTTTTTTTTGCTAGTCATTAGTCTGATCTGACTAAGGCAGAAGAAAACTCAGGGGGAGCCCAACAGACAGACAGACATCCTCGCTCCCGGACTGAGGACACAGAGCTTCTGTGTAAGATCCTGGGGAAACTGAAGCAGCACAAGTCCAGGGGACAGTGTCAGATGGGAGGAGGCAGCACTGCAGACTGTGGAGGTGTACAGACGTGTCCCTGGGTGTTCGGTGGTAGACTAGTGCCCAGCAGTGTGATAACTCCCTGAGGCCTGGGAGAACCACACCAAGGGCAAACAGTGCCCGGACCTCACACAGGGTTGAACCTATTCTCACCAGCCAGGCTGGAAAATCTCATGATTCACAGGGCTCTGGGTAGTGTTCTCAGAAATGCCCTGCTTCAGTGGCGAGGAATAATCAGTCCTAGACTAAGCCCTGTTCTGCCACTGCCTCTAAAATCTTAAAAGCAAGATTTGGAAGGATCAAAATATTTCCAGGTAATTTAACTGCATCCCAGAACAAAAGCTCAAAAATATTTATGTTCATACAAAAATATGTGATACCCCAAAAGGTAAAATTCACAATGCCTGGCATCTAATAAAAAATTATCGAACATGCAACAAAAGAAAATATCACACACATAATGAGGAGGAAGACCCATCCGTCACAACTGGCCCTGTGGGGCTCAGGGGTGGCTCAATGAGAGAGCTTGCCAACATGCACCCAGCCTTGGGTGGTCCCAGCACCAAGGGGAAAACGGACCCTGAAATGACACAGTGAGAATTAGCAGATAAGAGCATAAATCAGATCTTGTAACTGGATTCCATGTCTTCCAAAAGTTAAACAGAGAAATAAAAAATAGAAAAAGATCCAAATCAAGCTGCTAGAGATGAAAGTCACAATGTCAGGGTTTAAAACACATTAGGTGAGCTGTCAGATTAGACACTGCAGAGAAAAAGATCAGTGTAATTGAAGATGAGATAGAAGACATAAAATTTTTGAAGAAATAACGGCAGAAAGATTTGTAAACTCAACAAAAATTCAAAGTCCACAGATCCAAGTTTCTAATGAGCATCAAGCACAAGAAACAAAGAAAACTTTATCAAAACTGATAAAAAGGAGAAAAATCTTAAAACAGCCAAAGGAGAGAAAAAGACACGCCATATATGAAGACACAAAGATGAGGCATCAGATTATGTTGGAAACGCTGCAAGTAAGAAGCATCATCTTCAACACATCCAGAATTCTATGCCCAGCAAAAATATCTTTCAAAAACAAAGGTGAAATGAAGATATTTCAGACAACAAATCCATCCTACAAGAAAATTAAAAGGAAGTCCTTTGGGCAAAAGAAAAATGATAAAAGATGGAAGTGCAGATCTACACAAAGGGACAGAGATGGTAACTCAGGGCACAGGTAGGCTGCTAATTCCTCCAAGATTTCAGGACTCCACTGGGGTGACACCATCTGTCCTCAACTCCCGGTGGGCTATGTGGCCCTCCCAGGGTACTCTGTGTGTCCCCCTAGTGTTGCCAGCCCGGTACTGCATCCTATGGACCCCACTTGCCTCCCTCCTCCAGGCAGGAATGAGCCCAGTGAGGGCAGGGGCTCTGGGTGACATCTGGCACTTACTTGGTGACTAACAAATGTTTATTGAGTGGATCGTGCCCTGAATCAAGGTATGGCTGCCAGTTTCTGGAGACACTGAGAGACACAACCGGGACCTCTCACTGGTCACCAATGGAAAGAGGAGGATTAGAACAGTCCACGTCAGTGTTGCCCAACTTCAGTCTCTCAGGGGCTTTCTGCTGTTAATACCCGTATTATTAATATTATGATTAAATGCCTTCACACCTCTCCACATAAATACACGTCGTGATGAAGGAAAAGAGCAGTCTCTCTCACTCCCTCAAAAGGATCTGACTGAAAGCTTCAGAATACCTTCAGATCTGCCAGAGACACTCTGCTGACACCTTCCACTTCAGCAAGTTGCAGCTCTGCTCTCAAGACAATCCCGGAGGACCCTGGACAGGGGCCAGGCAGAGGCACCCGATCCCAGTGACAGCTGATTATCCTGAGGCTGATGGGGACAGAGGCTTTGAAACTCACACTTGGGCCACAGGATTCCCCTCTGGGTTCAGATGCTGGGTGCAGCTAATGGTGAATACACAAACAGACCCAAACCAGAACGAAGCAAAATGATGACCACGAAGCGGTCATCAGCCACGGGTCTTGCCCACGGAGGGCCCATCCCCTGGGCTCAGCCTCGAGGACCGGGGTCCAGATGGAATTTGCTCCTGGGGGCGGGAGGACCATGGGAAAGGGGCAGGCACTATGCGACTAGCAGAATGGACAGAGGACAAGTCTTAGACTAGTTAGCGCAGCGAGGCTAGGGCCCTGCCCTGTTGCTGTGTGCTAGCTCCAAGACCTGGGGCCAGGCCTCACTTCAATCTGTGGAAGATGGGTAACTGGTGGTGTTTAAAGTTAACTGGTGAGGAAGTTCAGCATCTCCCATGGTGCCTGGACTCAGTATGTCACCCAGCATGTTAAAAGTAAGTAGAAGGGGATGTTTCGTTGAGGAAACTGCTGATCTAATCATGCTGGAGACAGTCCACGTGCTTCACAGAGGAACCCTTCGCTCCAGGTACTGGGGACCTTGGAGTGGAGCCCTGTGTGGGCCAAGGTTGCTGGCCAGGCAGTGGGGACGGTGTGAGTCAGACAGACATGGTCCCTGCCCTGGTGGAGCTGAAGCCGACTTTAATCAAATAATCCCGTCAGCACAGGATCCGGCCTGTGATGAAGCACAGGAGGCTGGGAAGCCTGGGCAGGCAGGCACGCTGGAGAAGCTCCTGGAGAAGGTGAGGCGCTGAGTTTTGATGTGAAGAGAAAGAGGGGTCGACCAGGTTGTGGGGTGTCGAGGGTGGGAGCATTCCCAAGGGGACAGCGCAGCTGCACTAACTGCCCACCCACCCACCGGTCACCAGGGCGGGCCTCGCAGTGAACTCCAGAAGCACAGCTGATAAGCCTGGAGCCACTGTCCTTGGAAACAACTGGAGGAATCCTGTGGGCTGTGCAAAGGACAAAGAAGAGCTGGTGCCACCGGTCCCCGGCTGGGGTGGGGGTATTTAGAAAAAGGCGAAGCTTTTTCAAGAATCAGCCTGGGCTCTTCACCCGAGTGCAGTCAAGCAGAGGCCAGAGGGCCCCGTCAGAGAGGCCACAGGAGATGCGGGACCGGGAGAAACCCAGGACCCAGGACACAGCGCTGAGTCCTGCCGACCCCCGGTGGCCACGGCCCACTGACACGGAGGTATAGTTCACACCAGTGCTTCCCACTGGTTTTCACTGGTCTTTCCTCCACCTCCGCCCA